CCCCCCTCCTTTTTCCTCACCCCCTTCTTTCTCTCTCTCACCCCCTTCTCCTCTTTCTCACCCCCCTTTTCTCTCACCTTTTGCTGCAGCGTGGCGAGCCAGTATAGTCAGGGTGCAGGAGCAGCTGTCTCCTGTGCCGGCGGACTAACAGGAGAGATGCACTTCCTGTTAGTCCGGCCGGGTACAGGAGACAGCTGCTCTCTGTACCCGCGGACTATCAATGCTGCATTGAGGGAGCTGACAGGAGCGCTCCCTCCTGTCAGCCTCTCCTCAGGCTGCGCCCGGGCGGTGCGGTCCGCCCTCATGGACGCACCGCCCGGGCAAAGCTGCAGCCGTCTGAGGCTCTCTACAGAGCACTCGGGCGGCTGCAGCATGGGGGGGGGGCGGCGGAGCTGGCCATGGCACCCCCCACCCGGCTGGCACCCGGGGCGGACCGCCCCCCTGCCCCCCCCTTAGTACGCCACTGTGTTGGAATACCCATCCACGACCCATTTTCATTGCCTTCACTGAGGGAAGGAGGTTCTCACCAAGATTTAACAGTATGTGGCCCTGTCCATTGTCCCTTTGATGCGGTGCAGTTGTCCTGTCCACTTAGCAGAAAAACACCCCCAAAGCATAATGTTTCAACCTCCATGTTTGACGGTGGGGATGGTGTTTATGGGGTCATAGGCAGCATTCCTCCTTCACCAAACACGGCGAGTTGAGCTGATGGCAAAGAGCTGGATTTTGGTCTCATCTGACCACAACACTTTCACCCAGTTCTCATTCAGATATTAATTGGCAAACTTCAGACGGGCCTGTACATGTGCTTTCTTGAGCAGGGGGACCTTGTGGGCACTGCAGGATTTCAGTCCTTCATGGCATAGTGTGTTATCAATTGTTTTCTTCGTGACTATGGTCCCAGCTGCCTTGAGATTAACAAGATCCTCCCGTGTAGTTCTGGGCTGATTCCTCACCGTTCTCATGATCATTGAAACTCAACGAGGTGAGATCTTGCATGGAGCACCAGACCGAGGGAGACTGACTGTTATTTTGTGTTTCTTCCATTTGCGAATAATTGCACCAACTGTTGTCACCTTCTCACCAAGATGCTTGGCGATGGTCTTGTAGCCCATTCCAGCCTTGTGTAGGTCTACAATCTTGACCCTGACATCCTTGGACAGCTCTTTGGTCTTGGCCATGGTGGAGAGTTTGGAATCTGATTGATTGCTTCTGTGGATTGGTGTCTTTTATACAGGTAACGAGCAGAGATTAGGAGCACTCCCTTTAAGAGTGCTCCTAATCTCATCTCGTTACCTGTATAAAAGACCCCTGGCAGCCAGAAATCTTGCTGATTGATAGGGGATCAAATACTTATTTCACTCATTGACATGCAAATCAATGTATTACTCTTTCTGACATGCGTTTTTCTGTTTTTTGGTTTTTTTTTCTTTTTTTGTTATTCTGTCTCTCGCTATTAAAATACACCTACCATTAAAATTTATAGACTGATCATTTCTTTGTCATTGGTCAAACGTTCAAAATCAGCAGGGGACCAAATATAGTGAGGAAAAAAAAAATTATTATTGGTAGTTGAATTAGTGCTTTGGGTGATGGTTACAACTTTATATTTTCTTTCACACATTGTTATATTGGCATTAATGTCACCTTTTCTCTAACGTTTCAGAACTGGTAAAATCTAGGATTAGAGTTTATTTGAGAAACAGACATGGCTCTCATCTACAATTACTGGTTTTCAGTCTCCTGATCCCATCCATAAAATCGCTTAATTCTCCAATAACTACTGACAATTAGATATGGTAAAAAGCTCCATTTTCATTTCTGTCTGATATACGCTACATTTTGTGTATTTAAAAATAAATAAATCTATATCGTTTCAAAAAAATCTAAACTATCGACGTGTGAGGGGCTGACCAGGAAGACTGTGGGATGGACGCCATGATAGGAGTTCAGTTGGGTGATTGAAGACCAAATTGTTGCTAATTTCACCTTAATTAGTCATTCTTTGTCTCAATGGCTCTGCCATCCCTGGTTACATGCGATATATTCACTCCTATTTAAATCTTTTTCTGCCCACTGTTTGTTCCGCTTGTTTCAGATGCATGTTACGTTTCACGATGTGTCCGTCCAGTTCTCGGAAGAGGAATGGAGCGCGCTGCGCATCTCTCAGAAAACGCTGTTTATCGGAATCATGAAGGAGAACTATGAAAATCTTCTCTCCCTGGGTAAGACGCATGTGGTGCTGCCACACTAACGCAGGGCTGCATTGTCTGCCAGGCTATCCCGATAAACAAATGGACACCTGTGGGGAAAAAAAAAATTAAACAATTATTTAAATTGTATTTTGTGTATTATTATTATTATTATTATTATTATTATTATTATTATTACTGGCATTTATAAAGCGCCAACAAATTTATAATTTATTTTGAATACACACCTCTATGGTAAGAATCCGCAAGCCGCCATTGTGGCTGACATTTCCTTTTTCAGGAAAGGCGGAGTGGACACAGGGACACATTTTCTCCAGTTAATGCATTGTAGTTTAACATTTGCAATTCCCCCTAAAATCCCAGCTTTTCTTCCGTCTGTATAATGTAGCACTGATTTAATGACTTTATATACGGCACGTATAAATAAAAGTCTCCTATTCTGTATATTTGTAATCAGCCTGGCTAGTGCAAACACATTATAAAGTGTATTATCGTTATGTGAATATTTCCTTATCTCTGCGTTATGAATGGGGTTGATGAATACATTGTGTTCTAATTGATTGACAGGGGGTTTAGGAATTAACCCATTACTTGCTCTCTGCCCTCAGGAGCTCCGATTGCAGTACCAGAACTGTTCCAGCAGGTTGGTCAATGGGAGAAGGCATGCATGCTGTCCGGTGAGTAACTGGCCGCATTGGGAGAAATCAATACAAAGCCAAAATAAAATATTTATGGTTTTTAGTCTGTTCCAAGTCATCCTGCATTTAACCAGATATTTCTTTTGTATCAGAAACTCAGATCCCAAACTCTGTCTCCCAGAACATTGAGCAGATCGAGGATCCGTGTGCTACTGATCTACCTGTCGGTAAGTGATTGTTCACTCCTATCAGGGCTGCAGAAATGGGGTTACAGCGCAGTAAGTGATGGGATATGTAGAAATACTCACAGCAGTGAAGGTTCGGCCTTTAGCTGTTCAGCTTGCACAGTGAGCTCTCATTAATCCAGAATGTGATCCAGACAATCCTGCTCACATACCTTTCTGCAGTCCTGCGGAGCGTATCCCATAAGCAGGGCTGTCTGTTCAATTGTCTGCTTTCTGTAGTAAAACGCTAACAGCTAAACATCGCACGTTACTGAGCTTTATTGCTGTGGAGCTCTGTTATACACATCGCACATTACTGTGAGTTGTATTGCTGTGGAGCTCTGTGATACACATTGCACGTTACTGAGCTTTATTGCTGTGGAGCTCTGTGATACACATTGCACGTTACTGAGCTTTATTGCTGTGGAGCTCTGTTATACACATCGCACATTACTGAGCTTTATTACTGTGGAGCTCTGTTATACACATCGCACATTACTGTGAGTTGTATTGCTGTGGAGCTCTGTGATACACATCGCACATTACTGTGAGTTGTATTGCTGTGAAGCTCTGTGATACACCTCACACGTTACTGAGCTTTATTGCTATGGAGCTCTGTGATACACATCGCACATTAGTGTGAGTTTTATTGCTGTGAAGCTTGTAGCCATCATGTTAAATGTAAGGCACACAAACTAAAAGTTTCTCGTTTGATTCCAATTATTGTTTCATGTATTCTAGATAATTTAGATACCAGTGAAAATGAAGGAAAACCTGAGCCGGTCACTGTGTACGATGCATCCACCAGCCAAAGTCTTGGTCTGAAGGAGCAGGTGATGAATAATGAATCTGTCCAGCATCCTTGCTTGAAATGCAAGCAGCTTCTCTGTCAATGTGTAAGCCAATCCTGGAGTAAGAAGAAGCCTTACAGCTGTATTGATTGTGGAAAACGGTACTCCAGAGAGTTATTTGCCGTGGCTCACCAAAAGACTCACTTTCGCAGAGGGATCTACAACTGCCCATCTTGTGAAAAGAGCTTCCAAAAACCCTACCACCTCCAAATACACCTGAAAACCCACGAGGAGCAGAGGATCATCAAGTGCCCCGTGTGTGAGGAGACCTTCGTTACCAAAGGTGCATGTGCTCGGCACAGAAGACTGGAACACCGGAGGTTCTACAAAAAAGGAGGTCAATGTAATAAATGTGGAGAGATATTTAAAACACAATTACAACTTAAACTACACTATAGAGTGCACAGAAAGGCCTATCACTGCAATAGGTGTGAAATGCTGTTTAGCAATAAATCAGACTACCAAACCCACCAGCGAAGACATGCTAGAGAAGAGGTGTATGCATGTGGAAAATGTAAAAAGGTTTACTCAAGACTATCCAGTTATATGAAACACAACAAATCTGGTCTGTGTCGAATGGCTTCAAGCAAATCTTATGAAAACGAGGAAAAAATCAAGTCAACATCTAAATCTTTACTTATTGGTTTGAAAAAAACAGATCTCCTAAGTGACAATATTCTAGAATCCTCTTCTGACAATCTACACCTACAGAAACCATGCAAAATAGACTCTCGGCCGAATGATCCACACCGGGAAAAAGAATGGAAGATTAGCAGCAAGGACAGGCTGCTTGAGCAACCAGGACCTCATTCGGCCACCGAAACCAACAAGATTTTTAGGTGTAAAACGTGCAATAAGGTTTACAGACATGAATCCTCTATGATTCGGCATCGGCTTAGTCACACCACGATTTATGTCTGCCAGGAGTGTGGAAAGACCTTTACGAAATTATTGCATATTTACATTCATAGAATTGAACACAAAAACAAAAAATCATTCAGCTGCAGTATCTGCAGAAAGGGCTTTAGCTTTAGATCTCTGCTGCGTCTCCATCAGAATACCCATACTTCCCAAACATCCAGCCAGGGTAGTGCCTATAACGCCAAACTTGTTGTCCCCTCAAATGTTTCATGGCTAGGGAATTATTACAGATGTTCATACTGTGTGCTGGGTTTCAATGTGGCGCATAGTCTCCTCTTACACCAGAAACTCCACAACGATCGTCCATCTAACAAACGCCCGAACCGATTTCGTTTGGACTCCAGAAACTCCTCTGATAAAACGTCCCCAGTCTCAAAGTGCAGCAGAAATGATGGGATGATACCACTTCGAGAGAGGATACAAAGCACAGACTACAAGAAGATTCAATGCAAAGCCTTAGAGTCAAGAGACCTCTTTCAGCAATGCCACAGGTCCACCGAATGAACCAGGAAGCAATCTGACTTGTACCGAACCTTTGTTAATAAAAGGTCTGATATTCAGCTGACCGATTTTATCATTTGCCTCTGTCCAGTTTCAGGATTTGATTTCTACATGTTTAATGTGTTACACCATGGTATCTCTGGGGTCATCATAGGGATTCCTATCATTTTACTTAACTGAGTATCCCAGATCTTCAACCTCAGATACAAGTAAAGGATGTTTAGTAAAATGAAAACAAACTCCATAATAACAAATCCATCACTAACACAATCTATTGCTGAAACAATCAATATATACTTAATATTTATTAATAACTGGGTATAAAAGTTACATTCTGGTTAAGCCGCTACCTTACTGGATAGAAGCAGCCATTGGGGGTTAGTGGTCTCTTACAGACACACTTTATTTATTGTGTTATGGAGGCACAAATTCTGGCTTTTTTTATCCCAGAATGATCCGTGTTACTGGTCTCTTGGAAGCCTGCTACTCGTTGGTTATCTGCAATGATGGCAGAGATTGTCCCTTCATTCCGGTTAGAACATCCAATATTACATTCCCACGAGCTGTTAATTATATTTTATTTCATTCACAGGTGGACATTGTATCAATGCACATTACCAATCCACAATATTAAACTGTTCAATGCTCCCCATGGATGACTTGTTCCTCGCACATTGTGCGATCAGACTAATTGAGCAAATTTAAGGACTGGACCACAGTTTGGAACTCCTGAAACCATTTCAGTGCTCTGCAAGTGTCCAAGTCTTCATTTTTGTGCAAATATCGGTTTTACCTATTTTTGTAACTTGTTCTAATATGCCAGTATGGGCCAGGAGACCGTCTTCCCAGCCATCAGGGAGGCATGTCCTCCTCTAGCACTCTACCTGCTCAGGAAAGACTTGAAGTTTTCCTTTAAATTAATATAAGAAACAGTCATTGATTTTCATAAATTGTAATTCATTACAATCCTAAATACATTTCACAAAGTTCTGCACGTGTTTTGTATTCACTGTATGTGAATATTGTCACTCCTGAGCTTTGTGTCTGATCATAATGTGACTTATTACTCTGCATTCATTAAAATAAAGTATAAATTCACATCCCCTGCTCCGTTATGTTAATTTCTGATATTAAATTAGTTTGTTTTATACATTATATATATATATATATATATATATTGTTTTTTATTCAGCACTAGTTTCCATCTGCACTTGTTACTGTAGGGTGTGCAGATAGATGGACTGTCACAAGGTTAACTGTTACTGTAGGGTGTGCAGATAGATGGACCGTCACAAGGTTAACTGTTACTGTAGGGTGTGCAGACAGATGGACCGTCACAAGGTTAACAGTTACTGTAGGGTGTGCACACAGATGGACTGTCACAAGGTTAACTGTTACTGTACGGTGTGCAGACAGATGGACTGTCACAAGGTTAACAGTTACTGTAGGGTGTGCAGACAGATGGACTGTCACAAGGTTAACAGTTACTGTAGGGTGTGCAGATAGATGGACTGTCACAAGGTTAACAGTTACTGCAGGGTGTGCAGACAGATGGACTGTCACAAGGTTAACAGTTACTGTAGGGTGTGCAGATAGATGGACTGTCACAAGGTTAACTGTTACTGTAGGGTGTGCAGATAGATGGACTGTCACAAGGTTAACAGTTACTGTAGGGTGTGCAGACAGATTGACTGTCACAAGGTTAACAGTTACTGTAGGGTGTGCAGATAGATGGACTGTCACAAGGTTAACAGTTACTGCAGGGTGTGCAGACAGATGGACTGTCACAAGGTTAACTGTTACTGTAGGGTGTGCAGATAGATGGACTGTCACAAGGTTAACAGTTACTGCAGGGTGTGCAGACAGATGGACTGTCACAAGGTTAACTGTTACTGTAGGGTGTGCAGATAGATGGACTGTCACAAGGTTAACAGTTACTGTAGGGTGTGCAGATAGATGGACTGTCACAAGGTTAACTGTTACTGTAGGGTGTACAGATAGATGGACTGTCACAAGGTTAACTGTTACTGTAGGGTGTACAGATAGATGGACTGTCACAAGGTTAACTGTTACTGTAGGGTGTGCAGATAGATGGACTGTCACAAGGTTAACAGTTACTGTAGGGTGTGCAGATAGATGGACTGTCACAAGGTCAACAGTTACTGTAGGGTGTGCAGATAGATGGACTGTCACAAGGTTAACTGTTACTGTAGGGTGTGCAGACAGATGGACTGTCACAAGGTTAACAGTTACTGTAGGGTGTGCAGATAGATGGACTGTCACAAGGTTAACTGTTACTGTAGGGTGTGCAGATAGATGGACTGTCACAAGGTTAACTGTTACTGTAGGGTGTGCAGACAGATGGACTGTCACAAGGTTAACAGTTACTGTAGGGTGTGCAGATAGATGGACTGTCACAAGGTTAACTGTTACTGTAGGGTGTGCAGACAGATGGACTGTTACTGTAGGGTGTGCAGACAGATGGACTGTCACAAGGTTAACAGTTACTGTAGGGTGTGCAGACAGATGGACTGTCACAAGGTTAACTGTTACTGTAGGGTGTGCAGATAGATGGACTGTCACAAGGTTAACTGTTGCTCTGCCATCCGGAGGGTCATACTTTACAATTTTCTACTGCCTTGGCAGGACACATTTGAGCACTATGGTAGCTGGACAGTTAGTTTTTGACTCACTTTCAGAGTCCAGGTGCCTTTGAAGGCACAGCTTAGGCCATTGTTCTTACTGTACTAATTCATGATTGGCTATTATTGGGTAACAGCCACCATATCTCGGCACAACCTTAAGCAGTGACCTAGGAGGATATAATACACCCACAGCGGTCACATTCATCAGTGGGTACCATGATTAGAGGAGACCATTCATTGACCGTTCTCCTCCAGCAGTAATTTATGGCAGAGATCAGGGATCTTGTTAACACTGTATTTATTATTGGATCTTTCTCCTCCAGCAGTGATAAAGTAGACAGACTAAGATCTTCACTTAGTGCTTCTATTACTGTGAAACTGTAGAAGACCACCAATTGGCCAGTTCCCTCCAGCAGTGATACAGTTTTAGCAGTAATTTATGGCACAGTGCCCCCTATAGGCAGAGATCAGGGATCTTGTATCACTGTGTAATTAGAGGAGACCACCAATTGACCAGTTCCCTCCAGCAGGGATACAGTTTTAGCAGTAATTTATGGCACAGTGCCCCCTATAGGCAGAGATCAGGGATCTTGTATCACTGTGTAATTAGAGGAGACCACCAATTGACCAGTTCCCTCCAGCAGGGATACAGTTTTAGCAGTAATTTATGGCACAGTGCCCCCTATAGGCAGAGATCAGGGATCTTGTATCACTGTGTAATTAGAGGAGACCACCAATTGACCAGTTCCCTCCAGCAGGGATACAGTTTTAGCAGTAATTTATGGCACAGTGCCCCCTATAGGCAGAGATCAGGGATCTTGTATCACTGTGTAATTAGAGGAGACCACCAATTGACCAGTTCCCTCCAGCAGGGATACAGTTTTAGCAGTAATTTATGGCACAGTGCCCCCTATAGGCAGAGATCAGGGATCTTGTATCACTGTGTAATTAGAGGAGACCACCAATTGACCAGTTCCCTCCAGCAGGGATACAGTTTTAGCAGTAATTTATGGCACAGTGCCCCCTATAGGCAGGGATCTTGTATCACTGTGTAATTAGAGGAGACCACCAATTGACCAGTTCCCTGAAGCAGGCATAGAGCAGGCTGCAGGAGACATCCATTTACCAGTCTCTGAGAGCAGCAGGAATCAGTAGCTGTACCTTGTTACTATCTACCTGGGCAGCTGGATCAGACTTTCTTCATTGAGTCTGTCAGCATTAGCAACACATGTCAGATTGTAACAACGTTTCTGCAATACTCTGTTAGCAGTAGGAACCACTGGTTGTATGGTATTTATCCTGCCCAAGGCAGCTGGATCAGACATAATCGTAATGCCTGACAGTTTATAGCAACATCGCTGCTGTAAGAATAGTAAATACCATATAAAATAAAGCTTCATAGTATTTCAGTTACTGTGTTTCTAATACAAATACAATATGTCTTCACAGGAGTGAAGCTGGATGAGACACTGTCTACACTCTGTCAGCATTGGCAACATTTATTATATCACAGCAGTGTTGCCATAGTGCCTCATCTGGCACCTAATTAAGGATAACATTTGTTATATTTATATAAACATTGTCACTGCCAGACCACAGAGGAGTGCATGCCCCTGCACCTCCATTCAAGGCAGTCTGTACATCTTTTAATTATTTTTTTCTAATCATTGATCTTTATACTTCTTCTCAACTAATGTTGGTCAGGGCAAATGTCTCTCTTTTTGGCTATTACATACAGGGTCCATGCCCATCCTGCTCAGAGACCCCCAGTAGTAACCCTTCTCTTTCTGTTCCCCTGCAGGAAGCCAGGACCCAGAATATCATCTCAAAGCCATTAAGGTTTAATTCCACCAGCCCATAACAGATCCTGCAATGGAGGAGCTACAATCAGGAATACATTTTTTTGGGGGGAAGCAGAATTTAAAGATAAACAGACCCCAAACTTGTCAGAAACAAATCGGGGCAGCAATGAAACACATGAATTCAGCCAACAGACCTTTACGATAAGAACCAAGTCACAGAAAGTCTGAGAGCTCTGGACACATAAGTGGGGTCTCCTTAACTACATACCAAACAAATCTATAAAATAAACACAACGGGTGGAGCTCTATACAGAAATATTTACCTTATAATATCTTACATTGAGCCTATGGCAAACAAGAAAAGAGGGAGAAAATAGTGCAATATTGTCTGTACACTAATAGTGACAAGCAGTAAATGTGAATGACACTCACAAAATCAGAGCCAATGATATCACCTGGCTGAAAGGTGCAGGGCAGGATAATATCACCTGGCTGAAAGGTGAAGGGCAGGACAATGATATCACCTGGCTGAAAGGTACAGGGCAGGATAATGATATCACCTGGCTGAAAGGTACAGGGCAGGATAATGATATCACCTGGCTGAAAGGTGCAGGGCAGGATAATGATATCACCTGGCTGAAAGGCGCAGCGCAGGATAATGATATCACCCGGCTGAAAGGTACAGGGCAGGACAATGATATCACCCGGCTGAAAGGTGCAGCGGAGGATAATGATATCACCCGGCTGAAAGGTGCAGCGGAGGATAATGATATCACCCGGCTGAAAGGTGCAGGGCAGGATAATGATACCACCCGGCTGAAAGGTGCAGGGCAGGACAATGATATCACCCGGCTGAAAGGTGCAGCGGAGGATAATGATATCACCTGGCTGAAAGGTGCAGGGCAGGATAATGATATCACCTGGCTGAAAGGCGCAGGGCAGGATAATGATATCACCTGGCTGAAAGGCGCAGGGCAGGATAATGATATCACCTGGCTGAAAGGTACAGGGCAGGATAATGATATCACCTGGCTGAAAGGCGCAGGGCAGGATAATGATATCACCTGGCTGAAAGGCGCAGGGCAGGATAATGATATCACCTGGCTGAAAGGTGCAGGGCAGGACAATGATATCACCCGGCTGAAAGGTGCAGCGGAGGATAATGATATCACCTGGCTGAAAGGTGCAGCGGAGGATAATGATATCACCTGGCTGAAAGGCGCAGGGCAGGACAATGATATCACCTGGCTGAAAGGTACAGGGCAGGATAATGATATCACCTGGCTGAAAGGTACAGGGCAGGATAATGATATCACCTGGCTGAAAGGCGCAGGGCAGGATAATGATATCACCTGGCTGAAAGGTACAGGGCAGGACAATGATATCACCCGGCTGAAAGGTGCAGCGGAGGATAATGATATCACCTGGCTGAAAGGTGCAGCGGAGGATAATGATATCACCTGGCTGAAAGGCGCAGGGCAGGACAATGATATCACCTGGCTGAAAGGCGAGGGCAGGGGATAATGATATCACCTTGTGGCTGGAAAGGCGAGGCAGGATAGCCATCACCCGGCCGGAAAGGCGTTGCGGTGATAAATGGTCACCCGCCGAAAGGCGCAGCCGAGGATAAATGATCACCTGGCTGCGTGCAGCCG